TCTCAGAATTCTGACTTTAATCTCAGAATTCTAACTTTTTTCTCAGAATCTCAAAATCTCAGAATTCTGAGAAAAAAGTCAGAATTCTTTTCTTTTTTTTCCCCAGTGTCCCTAATCTTCTTCCGTAGGTTCGGCCTCACAGAGCTAATCTGCCTTTTTTCAGCAATATTCACCTGGGAACTCTGCAGAACCACAAATCAACTCTAATGCCTTTTAGAGGATCTAAACTCACACAAAGCTTTTCCTTTGACACTGCGCTGTTTACATCTAATCAAATCAATCCAGCATTTATTATATAAGTGAATTATGGCTTTTAGCCACATGTTAAATAAGCCAAATTTCAGAAAGCAGATAATGTTACCTGTGTCATCAACATTATACAAGTCGTGTTATTTTGCATGTCTTCTGTTATAAGAGCTGCATTTTGGGGAGCCCTAACCATAGAGAGTCTCTGACATCCTGGTGGTAAGAACGTGACCTAAAAACAAACCCACTGTCTCCTCTTGTAGATGTAACAAAGGCTGTGAAGAAGAAATATACCTTCTTATGCACAAAATAAATGTGGTGCACAAAATCTCTTTTATCATCAGTAATGCGTTTCCTGTTTTGACTGTCATTACTAAGCATCTGTTAAACATGCAGATATGACTGACTTCACTTTGCAATGTGACCTTAAAAGCCAAACAGGATGCAGAGTAACCCCGAGCCTCTAAGAGGAGATGGACGTGGTTCAAATTTAGCAAACCGAGGTAAAGATGAAATGTCGAAATGTTACACGAGAGGCGAATCTTTCATTTAAACCGGGCGTCTCATGAACATCAGTATTCTGTACCAACACCATAAATTTATGTTGCAAAAAGTCTCGAGTTTCCTTTTTCACAATCTGACACCTTCTCTGAACAGAAACCCTCCTTTCACACTGAATATGAAAGTCATTCAACCAGGACCGCACGCTTTCACTAAAGTGCACGAATGCATAAGATCCACAGACACACGCGTGCACGCAAACATTTCCTGCAGCGATGCATCTACACACGAGGATGCAAACACTCACACATGAACAGGAAGTGAACGTGACAGCCTTACATTCTCTCCGTGTAGCCTCCATCGGGTCATGTAGATGAACTCCAGAGTGTGATCTCTGCCCATGATCTCTCCGTTACACAGAACATCCAGCTGCAAACACAAGAAGGAAAATATATAAGAAGGACGCTTTGACCAAAACAAACACAAACAGCTTTTAACGAAGCGGTTGCAGTCACAAAGTTT